TGCTATTCATAGAGGCTTTTGGATTGATTTTGCCCCCCATTTGCTGTAACATTGTTCACCCTGACCACTAGTCCCATCACTGAATTTAAGGCTGTCTTTGTACTTATTTAGTGTTCAAGTTAATTGTATTTCTAGCTGGAGACAGTCTCATGGAAAGAAATTAAATTTTTTTTGTGTATTTTTCATGTGCCAACCAGATTTTAGCAATGATACTGACCTTCTCCTTTAGTTGGCTCAGTTGTGTTTATAAGAAGCTGGCTTCTGCAATAACTTTGCTTTACTTGGCCTTCTTTGGAGCATGTTTTAGGAACAACTTAATGAGTTTAGTTTTGAACATGTTGAATTGGAGTCAGGACTATACAGTTTGTGTTTGTAATGGCTAAGAGAGAAATTTGGACTGAAGATGTAGATTTGGTAAGCAAAGCTTCCATTTAGTATATTGAGTTACCCAGGAAAAGCATGTGAAAGGGAAATAAATGAGGTTAGACACAGAACCTTGGAATTACAGCATGTATGGAATGTGTAGAGAAAGAAAAGCTAGCCAAGGTTACTGTGAGGATATTTCTAAAGGATAAGTGAGAACTTGGAAAGAATGGTTCTATGGAGCCAATGTGGCATCTTTAAAACACTGTCCCTAATGTTTTGGAGAGTTCAACTAGGGAAAAGATAGGTGAGAATTTATTTGCTTGAATGTCTGGGAAATTACTGAAGATCTTACTTATACCCTTTCAGGATGAATACAAATCACCTAGAATAGTTGGTTGAAAAATAAATAACAGGTTTTTTTATTTGTTGTGAAGGGGAAAATGCTGATTGGTACAGAGGATAGTGGCTTGTGAATTAAAAATGTGTTGCTTTATGTATGTACGCTGTGCGATAAATAGATAAATCTTTCAGGCATCTTTTTATTAATAATTTTCTATGAGAAGTTATCTTTAATATTTAAGCATTTTTCAATTTTTAAGCATAGCACTTTTTATGATTGTTTAATCAATTCTTAAAGAATAATAGGGTACTGCTTAGTATGTCAGGTCTATTCGCCCCACATATTGAGTTCTAAATGCATATATCAGCTCAAGTGCATTGATGAATTTTTTTGTACAAAATATTACCTCATCTATTTCTCATTGTTTTCAACTATAATTTGGACAAGTGGGATACAGTACAGAAGTATAAAGCAATACCTGTCTTTAAAACAGCTTTTTCAGAAATTCTCTATTACTTAGCAACCAGCCTAAAGAATATTACTTCAGTTTTACTACCAAAAATACATTAGTTTTAACATTGTCTTTTTGAACTAGTAATTTATCTTTTGGAAATCCTTAGTGTAATATACTATTTATGAAGGAAATCCTGACATGGTTTACGGTTAAAAGTTAACAGCATTAACTTGTTATACAGAGGGGATAGGTTATCCACAGTTTCCAAGACTTCTGAAACTACAGAAATCTACATACACCATGATTTTTCCTATGCACACATACTTCTAGTAATATACAGTTTATAAATTAAGCATCGTAATGTAACAATAATAACTAATAAGAAAATAAGACAGTTATAGACTGTTATAAAAAGTTATTTAAAAGATTTATAATTATTATTTTTGGATTTTTCATGTACTATTTCCAGACTGCAGTTGACTGGGGTTAACCAAAAATGTGGAAAGCACAATTGTATGTTTGTGGGGGGGATCCACTCTTACAATGTTCAGTTTCCCTTTCATATATCTTTAAGCGGCTGTTTAGAAAATAAGTCTTCACAATCTTGGGGCTTTCTTGAAGTAGCTTGAATTAAAATATATATAAGAATTTATAGGCTAAGCTGGTATATTTGAGAATAGTATTTTGGTTTGATATTTTTTATAAGAGAAAAGCCTTTTTGGTGAAATCTGTTAAAGCCTGTTACTTGCTTAACATGTACTTTTCACATTTTACCTGAGTTAACGCAATATTTTTTAAAATCAAAGACTTTGAAAATCTTTAGTAACATGATTTTGTATTAATTGAAACTTTAAGCTAATGAAAAATTTATTTTATATATTTGAATGTTTTATCCTGAATCCAACAAAATTTGCTAGGTTACTTTAAAAAATGATTTGTCCAACTATGTGCTTCATTTTTGTCTCATCATACACTTAGGAAAGAGGGAAAAGAAGGGAGATAGATTTAAATATATATGGATCATTGTTGTCCCACTTAAAAACAGCATATATTTATAAGCAAGTATACAGCATTTATGTGACATTTTACTTTTGATTTTATCTAAATGAAATAAAATGTGACAAACACACTTACATCTTTGCTGCTTTTGAATCACTGTTAACATAAACTGTCATCTAATTTCCCAAAGAAAAATTACGATCCTAGATCTGAATACTGTGTTCTAAATTCTCTAAATTTTAATTATTATTATTTTGATCTCTTAGTAAAGAACAGTACACTGGGAAGCTACAAAGGAGATCTCAGTCTATGAGTGCAACTTGCAAAGAAGATGGGCAAAGTATTATCCCAAAGAATTGTGTAAGATCAGATTTCACTTTTGTTTGGTTTTTGTTGCTTAAAAATTACTTCATAAAATTTCAATTTCATATTGTTAAAGTTTCAGTAATTACTTTAAAAACAGTGAATAAAGTCTGGAGGTTTTTGTAAATATCTTGATGTTAAAGATAATGGTGTGGTTGGTATATTCTATTATTCACTATAATTCTGAGGTATACTAATCAGTCTATCCTTTCCCCCTGTGCATCTAAGCATAACTTTGAAACTATTTTTAAAATTTTTTCTTTCTCCTTTTATTTAGAATAACCAAGTAGATAACTCAGTGGTCATAAAATGGAAAAGAAATTAGGATTAATTTACAGTAAAGGAGGAAATACTGTTTCCATGATGAAGTTAAACTGTATCTTCAAAAATGAATGCTTCTTTTGCACTTGTATATTTATTATAGATTAGGTTTGAATAAGTTTTGTAATGAGGAACTGTGCTTTCCTACAGTCTTTATAGATTAACTCTGGTTATCTTGGGTAATGTGATTTTTATATGCAAGAGGGATCATATATGACATATAACTGTAGCACATATTGCTTTAAAGTATTTCATTGCATTTTCTTCAGTGATAGTTTGGGATTTGTCATTAAATAAAACTTGATATAAAGGGCAGCCAAATTTTAATAATGATTGTGTAACTATAATCAATGCATATTCTTAAACAAGACATTATTTTATTTAAGACATTTTTATTCACAAAGAAAAACAGAAAAAGCAAGGGACCACCAGTAGAAGTGGTACTGAATTTTAATATAATATACAAATAACATAACCTTAACATTTTGTTGAATAGAAATGTGGACAACCAGGAAAATATGCAGAACATCGAGTCTATTATTCTTCATCACTTCATATTAACTTAAATAGTCCTAGGTTTATTCATTGGTAATGAGGCTTTGAAAAGCATGAAAATGATGTGTCAACAAATTTAATTTCAAAATAATTCCTTTGGGTCTGTAAAGTAGCCATTGTTGTTTTATACAGACTTATTTTTCTAAGCTTTTAGAGCTTTCAGGTCTAGGCACAGATTTTAGGTTGTCTTCAGTTATTTACAGTTTCAATCTGGTTGATAAATATGTAATATAAAATATGTAATATCATAAATTATACAAAGGAAAAAATGGAATTTTTACTTTTTAGAAAGTAGAGAATCACCATAATTGTGTTTTCATGATATGAATCCAAAAGCTTATTACTCTTTATATTCAATGTATGAATGGGAATGAGTTTAAGAACAAAGAGCTTCTTGGACATCAACACAAAACTTCCCTGTTAACTAATTTTAACAGGAGCAAATAATTCATCTTTACAAGTCCCCCCGCCTTCCCCTGCCACTTTCAAGCTGCTGTGGTATAACACAATTAGAAATTTTTGTGAAAGAACTTACAGAAAGGAGTCTGGATTAATTTTTAAAATATTCTTTTGATTTTTTTGAAATCTAGTTAATATGTGAATGTATTGTTAAGGCATCTCATAGCCCTAAGCAGCTGTAATAAGTAGTCATTAGTTAGAACTGAGCAATTTAGCTTAGTTGTAATATAATCCTTTCTTGTGAGGGGAATATAGCATTACCAAATAAGTACACAAAGCTCTCATTGCTCTGACTGACATATTTTTCTTATTTTTCTTCTTCCTCTTTGTCCTTTTTCTTTCTTTTTCTACCTCCTTTTTTCCTCCTTTATGTCTTTCTTCCATTATTTTCTGTTTTACTTCTCTTCTCCTTCCTTCTTTCCTTCCTTTCTATTCTCTTTTGTATTTCAGGAAATTCATTTGAAAAAATCTCCTGTTTCTTTGGATGACGGTGACATTGAAGCTCGCCTTAATAGTTGGAACCTCGGGGTAAAATTTCATTTTATGTACATATTAATGTGGCAGAATCATATTGTATTTGGATAACGTGAAGTATTTTAATTCTATCTGCTGAAAATTGGATGTTAGACATTTAGTGTTGTGTTGACCTTGAGAAGAACTTTAATATGGGAATGAGAAACAGTGTTCCAAAAAAAAAATGGAAATATATCTGTTCTTGTCCTTGACAAGCAAACTTTCTTGTTGATGAAATGAGATATATAGAAAAAGAGTTAAGTAATAACTTAGATACTACATATAAAATATTAAAACAAGTTATATGGAAAGTAAAGACAGTCATGCATTTCTTAACATGATACACTCCTAAGAAATGTGTCATTAGGTAGTTTTGTCACTGTGTGAACATCACAGTGTACTTACACGACCCAAATGGTATAGCTCAGTTATTGAATGTGAGCCTTTTGATCCAATTAAGAGATAAAATAAACATGAGATGTTTGACACTGATACTGGCCTAACATGGCATATTATTTTATAGTAAACTTTTTAATAAGGAGGAGTACACTTTAAATAAAGATAAAAGCTATGACAGCTATGATGTCATTTAGGGGATGGGAAGTTTCTTTGGGGGACTCTGTTATAATCTTACAAGACTACCATCATAATGTATTTGTTGTTGATCAAGACATAAATATGCAGCATGTAACTACTGCAGATGGGAAGAATGGGGGAAAACATGAAGAAGCAAACTAATTCAAGAAGACTTCGTGAAAGAGCAGCCACTTTAATCAGTAATTTACATTGTACTGTATGTCCAAAGGCTGAGAAATGCAGGATTTTTATACATGGAAATGAAGAGAAGAAAGAATTTGAGACCAAAACAAGTGTAAGGAAAACGATAAGGATAAGTGAACCATTTTGTCTGTGTCTTTGGGACTTATATATGGAATTAATTGGCAATATTATCAGGTAATGTTGTATTGCAGCTCTGAGTGCTAAATTGAAAAGTTTAGCTTTTAAATTTCATAT